CGATCAGCTGCCTCCTGCACACTCCCCACTGGAGATGTGCCCGCAACCAAGGTACATGCCCTTGACCAGAATCGAACCTGGGACCCTTGAGTCCGCAGGCCAATGCTCTATCCACTGAGCCAAACCGGTTAGGGCTCGTTCGTAATTTTAACGGGAATATTGTTAAGTATGATGTTTGCTGTTGCTTTCCTATATAGAAACATCTCTCTACTCCTGGCTGAATTAGATGATTATCACAGATGGACACCCCACGTTTTCTGGCAGTCTGACGGCACTGGTCTGGCCGTCTGGCTTTTCCTTTACCCACTGACTGTTGCATACATTTTTCTTCCTCTGCGAATTGCTACAACTCCAGAGCCCCGTCTCACTCTCAGCTGATGCCGACCTTGCCTCATGCTTCGCTGAGGAAATAGAAGCCTCCAGACTGCATTCCCCTTATCTTCTCACAGCAGAGAACCTAGGTGTCCCCCTTCCCGTCAAAAGCCACTCCTCCTCCGAGGGCTCTTGGTCATATTCTTCTCCTACGTTCCCAGGAGCTTTCTGTTAACCTCTCCACCTGCACTTAGCATTAAATCCAAACTCCTTACACTGGCATTCTCCAAATGTGCCCCGCTATTTCCGATCTAAAGATGAAGGGCAGCCCGGCAGGTGTGGCTCAGTGGTTGAGCATTGGCCCATGAACCGGGAGGTCACAGTTGGATTCTGGGTAGGGGCACATGCCTGGGTTGGGGGCTCGATCCCTGGTGTGGGGGGTGTAGGAGGCAGCTGATCAATGATTCTCTCTCATCATTGATGTTTCTATCTCTCCCTCCCCTTCCTCTCTGAAATCAATAAAAATATATTTAAAAAAAGAACCTTTGCTTGAACTCAGAGACCATGAGCCATTGTTCTTATTTGCCTATATAGATATGTGCCCTCTCATTATTGTTGTTTTTTTATGGTCTCACCCTAGCCAGTTTTGCTCAATGGGTAGAGCGTTGGCCTGCGGACCAAAGGGTCCTAGCTTCTGTTCCGGTCAAGGGCTTGTACCTTGGTTGCAGGCTCCTCCCCATCCCCCCGGCCCTGGTTGGGGCTCCTGCAGGAGGCAACCAATCGATGTGTTTCTTTCACATGGATATTTCTCTCTGTCTTTCCCTCTCTCATCCACTCTCCCTAAAAATCAATGGAAAAATATCCTCGGGTGAGGATTAACAAAAACAAAAACAAAAAGTCTCCATGTCTTTTGTCGACGAGCTCAGATTCCTCTGGTATTAGTTTGTTGAGTGTGGTTCGCTCCTCTCGTGGTGTTGGCCTTCTTAAATTGTTTGGTGACCTTTCGTTGTGTCCTGTGGCTGCTGTGTCTGTCTATCAAAGGCTGCCTCCAGTGAGTGGATTGTTGACTGCTGGTAAGGAAGGAGGCCATGCCAGTAGCTTGCCTCCTGGGTATGTGCCTCCCTCTTTCTCCTAAATGTCACCCATCCCCTAGACACTGCTCTGCTGTTCTGGCCCACATTCCCCACCCAGGATAGAGTCTCCGCTGCCAGTTGTGTGGCGTAAGGTATCTCTGGATTGCCTCCCCGACCCCATTTGCTCTTGCAGCTTTTCTCAACCTTTGTAATGAGTTCACTGTGTCAAATCCTTTCTATTGAACTACTTGGTGTGGAGTCTCTTTTCTTGGCTGCACCTTGAGTAACATTTGTGAAACTGAGTTTATCCTTCAGAATGTTTTTGTGGGTCATTTTGTTTTTATTCTTCATTCCACTTATCAGAGGTTTATTTCTTTTTATTGGTCCTTGATTTAATTTATGGAGCAGCAATACTATTTTTTTGTTTTACTCTTTTTGATTTATTGTATTGTCTTGAATATTTCTTTGATTCTACCTTCTTTGGGCTTATTTTATTTTCTTCCTAACACTTGAGTTGAGCGCTTTGGTCAGCTATCTTTAAATGTTCTTGTTTTCTAATAAATAGATCTTGAGGCTATACATTTTCCTCGAGTACTATTTGGCTGTATCTCATAAGTTTTGATATGTAAATTTTATTTTTATTCATTTCTAAATAACTCATTTCAATTAAGTTTAACACAAGAGTTAGAAAAAAATTAGTTTTTGTATTCCTGTGTTTTTAATTTGTGATCAGAGAGTTTGACTTTTTTGATTTCTACTCTGGGGAATGTTTCTTTTAGGATTTCTTTTTATTGCTGTTGGAACTAAGCTGTGACCACACACTCTGACTCCTAGCCCAGCAGCCTGGCATTGGTACTGAGTTTTGCCACTTCTGAGGGCCCACTCTGGCCACTAATGAGCTCTGGCCGCATGTCTTCACCTCTCTGGGCCTAAGGATAACCAAGGCAAAAGAACTGCACCGGATACTCTCTCCGATTCCTTCCAGCTTCCCCCCAAAAAGACCTAAAAACAAAACAACTGGGTTTCCAATCGAGGTGGGAGAGTCAGAAGAGAGGTACAGAGTACTGTGGGGCCCAGAGGAGGGAGGTGGCCCACCAGCTTAGAAAGGGTTGGAAGTCAGAAAAGGCTGCCTGTGAGAATTGGCATTTAAGATCATACCCTGAAAGGGGCATTCATTCGTTCAACAGATATTTATTTAGCACTTCCCTGCTGCTTTCCAGTTACTGAAGATCGCTGCAGTGAATAAAATAGACCAAGCCCTGCTTTTGTGGGTTATTTTATGACCTAGCAATTTTTTCAATATATTTTTATTGATTTCAGAGAGGAGGAGAGACATCAATGATGAGAGAGAATCATTGATTGGTTGCCTCCTGCACACCCCCCACTGGAGATCGAGCCCACAACCTGGGCATGTGCCCTGACCAGGAATCATCCTGGTTCATAGGTCGATGATCAACCAAGGAGCCACACTGGCTGGACACCGTCTAGCAATTACACAGTTTGACAGCCAAGCTTCGAGGCAGCACCTGTTTTCTACTGCACCTCACCCCATGCATGACACCCATGACTCAACCCTTTTTTTTTTTTTAATTGATTTCACTGAGAGAGAGGGGGGAACTTCTATTTGTTGTTTCGCTATTTGTGCATTCATTGGTTGATTCTTGTATGTGCTCTGACTGGGATTGAACTCACAACCTTGGTGATTCAGGACAAAGCTCTAACCAACTGAGCTACCCAGCCAGGGCTGACTCAACTCTTTTGCTTAGGCACTCCCTCCCGTCTACCTGGTCGCCCATCTGGTCGCCCTTCTGGTCGCCCATCTGGCCGCCCACCTGGTCGCCCATCTGGTCGCCGGAGACATCTGATTCTGAAGGAGATCCGACATCTTCAGAAGAGCACACACCTGTTATTAAGGAAGATGCCCTTCTGCCGCCTGGTGAGCTCCAGGGGGCTTCCTGCCCACCCCCATGCTGCCTCCTTTCTCTAAATGTCCCCAGTATTGGGGACCCTATCATCTGTTGCCCAAATGGCCAGGGGACCTCTTCTCTAAATTGGTAGGGAACTCTTCATTTTCTAAAAACACGAGCCTGCCAAGGGTACCTTCCAATAAATTATGGGATTAATTTCCAACCCCACCCCCCTTGAAACTGTGTTCTTTGATTATGTAAATAGAAACCCTCTCACCCACCTGTTCATCCCTGCCCTCCGCTGGGAGATTGCCTTCTCCTCCGCCCACCGCCAGTAAGAGACATGCCAAGTCCTAAGCTCCCAGGAGCTGATACCCGCTGCTCCTTAGGTCCAAAGATTAAGGACCAGGAAGGTATAGAGGAAATGAAGATTGGCAGAGACTCGTGGAGAGAGTCTTATCTTCCCTCGAGTCTCTATTCCCCCACTCTCTGCTCCTCCCCACTCACCTCCTTTGCCTCCCCTCTCCACCCCTTCACAGGTAAGAGAAATATGTGTTAAATTCACTCGCGGTGTGGACTTCAATTGGCAAGCCCATGCCCTGTTGGCCCTCCAAGAGGTAAGAAGAGGGCCCTGGTAGTGGGGTGAGGGCTGAGTATAGGAGAGAGGTGCAGCATTCCACAGGGCTGGCTGTGGAGTGTCGCGCTGACTCATGCCTCCAGGAAAAGAGCCACGAGAACACAGGGTTTGGAGGCAGGATCTGGCCTGGCAGTAGCAGAATCCCCAGGCAGTTCGGGCTCATTCTGTGAGCAGCCTTCCCTCTAGTCCTTGGAGCCCCCCCAGATTAAGTGTAGCAGGCCCCCAGGAAAAAGCAGCCTGTGCCCCCCGCTAGGTCAGTCCACCTCTGTTTCCGTCCCCAGGCGGCAGAAGCGTTTCTAGTACATCTCTTTGAGGACGCCTACCTCCTCTCCCTACACGCCGGGCGTGTTACTCTCTTCCCGAAGGATGTGCAGCTGGCCAGGAGGATCCGAGGCATCCAGGAAGGGCTGGGCTGAGGTGCCGGCCGCCCCTGTAAGCCTTTCCAG